ACATAATCAGTGCAATTTTCCATCCTAAGCCTTCGTACCTTATCCATGAAACCTATCTTAAACATCTATCTTTCTAATGTGCAGTTCACTACTCATCCGTTCCTCAGCGTTTTTTTTTTTTCTTTCCCCAATCCACTTTTCAATGAATAATGAAAATGAACAGAAATCCAAAAATAAAACCCCACATGCATCTAAACATATAAAGGCCTACTAAGGGTAATATTTTAGCCATAATTTGTAACTTTTCAAGATTCCTGCACAAAAATAGTGGCTAACACCAGGCAAATGAGGATAACTTAAATCATAGAGATTAAAATATTGCTTTAAAAGATTGAATATATATCTATATTTATGCTATATTCCTGTCCAACATTATTTCTTTGTTTTATAAAGCCACAATGTCAACAGGAACTGAAGGAAAGAAATGGAATGCAAGAAACTACTAATGGGTGACATTATGGATTGAATATGAAGAAAGGGTGGAACGAAGAAAGGGGAGATTGCTGAAGGGGGTAAACAAAGATCATAGGGGGAGGGGTATGGGTGGTAAGAAATCTGAGTCAACATCTTTTAGTTAAATATACTTAAAAAATCACTTGCACAGTCCTAAAATGAAGTTGGTCTTTCGTCCTAGTTCTGGAATGAGGACCTTTATTGAAAGGATATAAGCTTTAACTGCAGAAACACCAGATTCACACATATACCTGAGCTGATGCTACATATTAAGTACAAAAAACTAAATCGACAAGTCCCCTAGATAAACAATCATTAAATTCCTTGAGATGAAAAACTTGTGTACCGCTAATTATTGAAACTGATTAAGGCTATTTGTTTGGTAGGCAGAGAGTAGACATTTATTCAATATTTCAACTTGTGTCTCTTTGCTGATACTCATTTCGTAATAGAAATGAGAAAATGATGTAGCATCATATTTTACCTATATTTCACCTTTTTGTAGCTGATACCATATGCCAAACATGAACGTGACTGGCTTTCATACACCCTGCTTGATGATAGTAGCTATTCCCACAAGGTTTAATAATTTTGTATTTTTGTAGTTCGCTGCATGAACCCAAACTCAAACATCCGCTTGGGCACGTAACGTTAGCCTAACCAACATTACTTGATTACATGAAGCCTGGTTCTTTGTTCCATAATAGTTCACATAATGTACTTCAAATACCCTACTTATGAATTTTACGATTGAACCGTCCTATTTGTTGATCGTTATTAGTCTATTACGCTATCTTCCTATCACAAAAATGTGACGCTATTCCAGTCTTAAATTCAACTCAAGGGTATTTCTTTCTTCATTTGGAAGATGGGGGTTTTCCCTAACTTCTCATGTTCATTTCTACCCTAGACTTGTGACATCAAGCTTGGTACAATTCTAATTTTATTAGATTTTAAGGTTTCACTTAAAATAAAACAAATAAAATGATGAAATGAACTTAAATTGGATTAAAATACTGGTTGCCTTTCCAAACCCATATTCTCTTATTTCACCCCCATGTATCCCCCTCCCTATCATACACTGCAATCTCTTCAAAGTTCTTCCTTACTATTTGACATAAAGTTCCAACACCTTGTATTCGAATTGTTGCCTTTTTGTTTCCCATCTCCATAAGATCAGTAAAACAATGACCCTTTTCACATTTTCCAAAGACTGATATAATATTCTCCTGCCCATAATTTATAACCGTCTCTCTGGCTTCGCGTATCATTCCCTAACTGCTGGTAATTACTATTGGGCTTGTCTGTGCAGTGCATTAAATATCATGCCTTACCTACTGACAAAGTGCTGTAAACAGAGTGACTGGTACGCAGTCTATGCTTCTATTTTTTCCATTAAGTGCTCAATGTTTAGATATGAAGACAAACAAAATTTACAGCTTATAGCTAGCACTGAACTATTTGCCCTTAATATCTCCAAAGCTCTGCCATTACTCCCAATATAAGACCTGTTCTATTATTACCATTATCATTATTATTACTCATAGTTCAGTTTTTGCCTCGGTATGTACATGTATATATATATATTTACTATATTCTTTGACGTGATTGAATCTGATGACTGGGGTAATAATATCTGTAAAGGGCTTAGAGACGGTATTTCGTATTAAGCGCTGTTTAACTCTAGATTATTACTATTATACACCAGGGGAATTTGTTTCATCATTTGATAAGAACTAACAAAGACAGCGCCCACATTTTCTTGTAAATGCACATTCTATTTTAGAGCTGCATTTTCTTTTTACAAATGCTGGCAATTATAATGCTGTTATCTCAACGAAGAGAAAAAAAAAGATTGAAAATTACACTTTAAAAAAGGGATTCATTCATGTTAAAACAATGTTCATTCAAAACAAAACAAAAATTAAAAAAACTTGTTAGATGTACTCAAATAGGAGATGCGATTTGGCAAGCACGTTGCAAGGAAACTAATCAGAGAGGGGATTATAAGCAAATTTTGAAGAAATGCAAACAAAATATTGACTGACGGATGCAACTTGACTAAGTCATTGATGTAGCATTCTGTTATTACAGCACTAAAAGGAAGGCATTTTAAGATTAGAGAAAAATGGAGGGCAACAAAAAAAATACGAGGTAGAGATGATTCTCTTTCCTTCACAAGACAATGAAACACAGAGTGAAAACAATGTGAAGAAAAAAAAATGGAAAGAAAAAGGGAAGTGTATTCTTACTCCATGATGTATTCGGAAATCCTTTATAAACCAACATTCCCAACAGCAAAACAAATCAGGAATGAAACAGAGAAAGTTGAAAAAGAGGGATGGATATCATTAAGATAATCATCATTTGAACAAGAATGGCATGACACTGTTCGTGCATCAAAACAGGAGCACTCCTGCATTATCATCACAATACTTCTCGCACAACCGCGAGGATATGTCACTTAGATTCCTTGTATAGAATTAGTTTTGCCAATTCATATATTAATTGGTTTTATACCTATACACTCTGCATTGGGCTTTAATAAGTTACATATAAAATCAAGACTGTTGGAAAAAAATCAACCCAAAAAATGAAAAGGTGTAACTGTACAAAAGATAAAAAAGTAAAATTTCTTCTTTTTAAAATAAGTAAGGCACAATTGGAACATTTTGGTAAAAAGAACATAAGTAATCATGAAAATGGTAGAAAACTAACACAAAGATTACTAGTTTTCACTCCTTTCATTTCTCTTTCCTTTCCCCATTTCACTGTTTTAAGCGGTTCTGACCACAAACAAATTTGTATAGGTTATTTGCATGATTTGTATATTTTTTTAAGTTAAATTAAACAATTTTATAATACCATACAAAGAATGCTCATTCTCCTAAAAGATGTGTTGAAGATAAGCATTTAATGACAAAGCCTTGAATAAATGCACAAAAAAACATCCAGAAGAAAACTAACAGGAAATATTATACCAAACTATATATTCTTAAAACTTACATGCACTTGGTTGCAAATCAAAATTTGAAGAAGAAAAAATTATTCATCAAATATAAAGTTCATGGTAAAGTGCGATATGATAAATACTTGGGATAAAATTCAGAAATAGCAACAACAACAACAACATTCAATCATATATTAGAGTCACACTTACAATCATCCATAAAGATAAACTCACTAGAAAGGCTCAAGATTTCTTTCTCAAAACCGGAGACCCATTTCAAACTTGCATTTTTTTTTTGGTAAATCTTATTTCTCAAACAATATATAAATGTGCCATTCATAGATAGATAAAAGAAGAAAAAATAAATGCCACAGCAAATAGCCAGCCAAAAAATAATATGAACATTGGCCTCAAGATGCTTTTATCATCCATCTAAAATCAAAACAAGACATTCAAGGTCACTAATTAAAGTAGATCTACAAGATCTTGCTTCATATTGCAGGCTTTTTTGTGAGCCAAAGGCAAAAAAAAAAAAAATCATCAAAATTACTTTCTGGTTTCCATGAGTATCCAAAAAGAAACAGTGACTGTAGAATATTTCAAGGATATCAATCAAATTGGTTCAATATATATTTTGCTTCTCATTTGAGGCCAGTTTGGCATAACTGAGAAAAACTGTCTCCTAAAAATTAGGGTGTCCTTTATTTCATCAAGAACTAAATTAATCTAAAGGCATTGAAAAAACATGATAATTAAACACTTAAACAATCTTTTTTGTAAAGTCAATTTCATCACCCTAACATCTAAGTCATCATCATCAACACCATCATCATTGTTACATCATTACAAGCATTATTATCACAAATCCTTGTAAATACAGGAAATAGACTACAAACTCCAGACCAAAACCTAGACCAATGTTTGGTCAAGTAGGACTTAGTCTTGAACAAACTTGATGTGATCAAAGTATGAGACCCAGAACCCTGGACCAGTCCAGACCAAGTCTCTCTTTTGTCAGCAAAATGATCATAGACCTCCATCACACTGAAGCTATACCACAATCACAAGCTTCCACAGTTCATCAATGCAATTCTCATTCATTACATCAAAGAAATTCAACATCTTTTATTTCCACTCCCAACTCCCAACCTTTCCCCCTTCCACCCTTCACCCCTCCTTCCACCCCTCCCCCTTCTTCCCTCAATCTTGCCTGGGGGGATGTTTCACAAAGATCCTAAGTCGAACTTAACTCTAAGTTGGACTTAAACATTATGGAGAGCCATTTGTAGCCTTAAAATGAAATATATTCAAAAGCAAAAATTCAAGTATTTTAGACTTTTCATAAATTCCACATCCTGAACATGAAATATCATTGATAATAGAATATGAATATGAATGATTCGAATCAACATTTGATACCTTTTAAAAATAACTTTAACAAAATATTTTCAAAGATGCAAACGGTTTTCCATAATTTTTAAGTCTAACTTTGAGTTATGTTCGACTTAGGATCTTTGTGAAACAGCCCCCTGGTCCTCCCTTACCATATCCTTTTCCCTCATCCCCCCTCCCATCCTTACCCCGTCTTTGGACTCACCCTGCCACCACGATGAAGAAGTCCAGTCTGTTCCAGGTCTCCCCCAGGTAGCCCTGCTTACCGATGAAACCCATGGCCATGACCTTGACCACCATCTCGGCGGCGAAGAAAGCGAAGATGAAGTGATCGAACCCCTGGAGGATCAGACATCGTTGAGAGTCGCACTCGATGTCGCTGCATGGACGATACATACCCAGGGTGATGCAGTTGAGGATGATCACCATCATGCTGATACGTTCAAACCAAGTGTGGATAGCGAATTAAGGAAAAAAATACTCATTTCTAAATAGATTAAAATAATTTTTTATTAACATTTAAGAGTGACCAATGGTTTAATGGAATAAGATTGCATCTTATAATCATCATCATACAATGAGCTTAAAGCACATACATGAGTAAAATGGATCATTTATATAACAATTTATCTCGAAAACTGAAAATATAACTGGAAAATATAGTATAAACGATGCATATGATTCTTATCTAAAGTATATTTATATAATATCATTGTGTAAAATATCTCACAGTGAATAACTGTTGGAGATACAAGTGCAAATTACTGAACATATTGGAATGTACATCATTCTATCTTTCTCCTTTTCTCTATTTTGGTCATTCAGCTTTTTTTTCTTTTTTTCATATCTCTCTCCCTCTCTCACCTTCACTCTCTCTCTCTCTTTCTCTCTTCATTCTCTCTCTGTTTGTCACACTTTATCAGCCTCTCACTTACTCTAGCACTTTCTTCTTTCTTTCTTTCTCTCCATCTCACTTCTCAATCCAAAAACAATGTTTTCTTCCTCTTTCAGTCCATAATATTAATCTTTTCCGCCAATCTTCACACATGGTCCCACACCCATCCCCTCTCTGCTTGCCTGTCTGTCTGAAGCCAGCAGCTATCTCATTCTAACCCATCTCATGTTTTACCCATCCAAAATGTCTCCATGAATAATTTCCAAATGTCAATTTATGTGGCAGTCGGCGTTGTTATGCAATTAACAAGAAGAGAGGGATGTGTTGATAAGCAGGCATAATGGCATTTCCCTCTGAGCTATTAACTTAGGGTCTGGGAAAACATTCAAATCACTCACTTTAATAAAAACAGATTTCATGTTTTATTTGTGGAAACATTAGCCTGCAGTGACAACTTCAATGCCAGATCACAAAGAATCAAGTTTCCCATTGGAACAGCTACGGGTATACTCATTCTTCCCTAATGTAGCGAAGGAAACTGGGGAGATAAATTCACATTTTGTCAAAATTTACTAGAACATGTAATGTACAAGATGACCAAGAGCTGATTTGTGGCAAAAGACATTCAAACTAATTTTATTCCAGTACATGTAAATGATACAATTAACTCTTGTATTTATCTAAACAAAATGTTCAATGATCCAATTTTTTTTCCAAAAAGATTTTTAAAAAGGAGTATGAATATTAAAGCTGTCCCAATAAAAAGACGTAAACGTCATGTATTTTTTTCAAACATATTTCATTCCATACCTGTTGTAGATTGCACACGTTCATTTTCAAAATCACTTTTCTGTTTTATATCTCAAATTGACTCTTGATGTTATAATAATGACTTTTAAGCTAAACTCAATAAAGTACAGTCTCTCTTCTGCCACTAACTCTCAAAGGTGATTGTGATGTTTTGTGATTGATGTTTCTAGGTTAAAATATTTGCTTGCCTCAGAGAATTCTAAACACCATCTGGGCATGATGTCCTGTCCTTTTGTGCACAGTCTGCTTTCATTTTACCCACATTTTCATCATTTTAAGCAAAGATGAACACAAATTCAAGTCTACATAATACTTAATGTAGATTGCATACATTTATCTTGTAAAAGAAAGCAAGGCATGGAATTTTGAACAATGATGTAATCCAAAATTGTATAGTTTTGTCATAGGGCATAGTTTTATCATACGGCATATAGTGCATGCATTTTCAAGTGACAGTGAAAGTATTCGTATTTTAAAAGAAATTTGTAATTTTTTTGTTTTGGTACTTATTCTTAGGTCAATTCAAAGAGAAGGCAAAAAAATGACCATGGTAAAATACAAAATTTAATTTTGGGTAAAAAGTATTTCGCTGATGGTTGTTTTTGGTTGTTATCTCGCTACTCAAAAACACTTTGGACCGGTTAGGTGTTATGACCTAAAATTTGGTATATATACAGTTAACGACTTCATTATTCATACCCCATGTAAATTTGATGTGTTTTTTTGTGTGTTATTCGTAATTCAAGAATGAGAGGTGAACTGGTTAAATTAATGCCTTTGATGAATACTTCTAGATGTATGAAGGCTTTAGAATGTCGCATTCTTAAGATATATAAATCAGAACACGTAAATTATTCTCATACTTTAAAAATTGCAAAACTTGGTAAGGGTATGAATAATTTAGTTGTTAAGTTTAGTATCATAACTTCCGTCTACAACATTACGTGCTATTAAGCTATAATTATGCATGCTCTTAGCTCAGCATATATGCCACATCATACTTCACATCATGATAAGGCTGTCTTAATGATAGACAATGTAGGGATGGACGCATGTAATCTACTAATGGGAATAATGCCTAGTCTTCGCTAGAAGGTCATGATCATAAGTCAACAGGGCGGGCAGGCTCTCGTTTTAATTACACACAAGAACTGGAGCGTAAAAGGACTGCCCTCGCCTGACCATCATCCTGCTACGCGCAGGCATTGGCTTTCAATGTTCATCATCCTAATGTTGTCCAATTTGTTGAAAATGTAATGTAGATTGGAAATGTATGTGTACCATCTCAGATATTTGAAATAATCCATCTGTGATTGAAATTTGCACTAGTATATTCTGAAATGCTGATTACAAATTGGAAATTGTATTTTGCAGAATTATCATTATTGTATTTTTTTGTTAAAGTAAACAATTTTCATGTCATTTTGATCCTGATGCTTTTTATGTTCACCTGGAAAAAGCAATAGGAAATTTTTCAAAATATCTTAAGGTGATTAAGGAAATTTTATTATGCATACAGACTAATCAAATCACGTAACTAGTCCTATTGATATTGTCACTTCACTACACCCTTTTGCAAATAAAGGATACCACTGCAGTATCAAAACTGAAATACCAAATTCCTTTTCGCCCATTATAATAATAATCTCATTAAGTAGATGATAAGATTTTCATCACGACTTGAACTAGATTAGATGTCATATTGCTCTAATAATGAAATCGTTAACCCACAGTTGGGGACATGGCTTGACATTTGAGACGATGTCAGGAACCATTTTCATCTAATGTTAATTGTTGACCAACAGAGCAGGATCCAATGGAAGAGGGTCGGATGGGTAGGACAACAATCGTGAATGGTTTAATGGGAAAAAGCTTGCACTGGAAATTAAACTCTGGAGCTTTCGCTTCATGCAAACATGGTCGCTGCAATTTCCAAAAGATATCATCAATTTCTGTCAAGTATCCTGAATATCTGTAATGTTTTTGCAAGTCCAGAATACTTCTTTTACTTGGTTCCTAAAAATTGTTTTTTAACCAATTATAATAACAAACATAAATTGCCATCAGAGTGTCATAATATTCTAGTCGGGCTATCAAATACTACCATGATCGGAAACATTGAAAACTGTGAGGTAATAATCCATGCACAAGATAAGATGCCTTGGACTTGCCCGTTTAGATTTTTTATGAAAAGCAGGGTTGGTATTGTGAAAAGTACTCTCTAAAAAAATTGAGTGATCACGGACGTCACTCCTCTGGAGAGTGAAAATGTAGTGAAAATAGAGTGAACATTCACTCTTTTCTTCTTAGAGAGCACTCTAAAATCAATCGATTTTCACTCCTAAACAAGTGATCACGGACGTCACTCCCAAGAAAGTGAAAATAGAGTGAAAATTCACTCTTTTTTTTTAAGAGAGTATACTCTAATCCAGTAAGTCTTTCCACTGTTACATCACAATAGATTGCATGCTATACATCCTTTTCCTCTGTATCTCTCAGAACTGTATGTTTAACATAGCCATTTTCAGTCACAGAAGCCTACCAATGACTTGCTATAATTTTGCTTTATTATGGTAACTTAGGTACCTCTCACTAAACCAAGAGAAAGAAATGTCTACAATATTATTTCTACAACAAACCATACTCAAAATGAGCTGCCCCCATATAAATCAAACTGTTTCAAAATGAAATAAAAAATCTCTTGAAATGAGTATTCTGTCTAAAAGTCAATATCAGTGATTATATTTGGTGACTGGCTCTGCAGCTGGCTGAGCTCAAATCCATTCTAAAAGGAATTAAGCATGTCCGCTGTCAAGGTTGGAGTCTATGCTTCAGACTATCTAAACAAATCCAAGATGATGGGACGACAAGGGACGGAGAAGAGAGAGGGAAAAGAAAAGAGAGGGAGAAGAGAGATGGAGATGGAGATGGAGAAGGAAAATAGAGAGACAGAGGGAGAGATATGGAGAAGGAGAAATAGAGACAGAGAAAGGGAGCATAGAGAGACAGAGAGAGGGAAATAGAGAGACAGAGAGAGGAGAATAGAGAGACAAAGAGAGGAGAATAGAGAAACAGAGAAAGGGAGCATAGAGAGACAGAGAGAGGGAAATAGAGAGACAAAGAGAGGAGAATAGAGAGAGAGAGGGAGAATAGAAAGACAGAGAGAGGGAAATAGAGAGACAAAGAGAGGAGAATAGAGAGACAAAGAGAGGAGAATAGAGAGACAGAGAGAGGTAGAATAGAGAGCGGGAGAATAGAGAGAGGGAGAATAGAGAGAGGGAGAATAGAGAGAGGGAGAATAGAGAGCGGGAGAATAGAGAGAGGGAGAATAGAGAGAGGGAGAATAGAGAGAGGGAGAATAGAGAGAGGGAGAATAGAGAGCGGGAGAATAGAGAGAGGGAGAATAGAGAGAGGGAGAGAAGGAGAGGGAGAGAAGGAGAATAGAGAGACAAAAATATGAGAATAGAGAGACTGAGAGAGGAGACAGAAAGATGTAGACAGACAAATGCAGTATGAGAGAAGAGTGATGTAAAGAAAGGAGAAACACAGGAGGAAATGGTAAGAATGGAAATCAAGAGAGGGAGAGAGAGAAATAAAAACCATCTCGTGGCTCCAGTTATTATTGACTTATAAATCCTCAAAGCACCAAAGACCATACATTTCAATGGTTGTCTCTGTTTTGATTGCCTTTTCTTCAAGTATTAACATTTGCATAGAATTGTGTAATTCATGAATTATAACAAATGAGCTGGTTCAGTTTGAACTT